ATGCAGTGGTTACTAACATCCAGTGGCCCACTTCTCAAGATCTTCTGGCTTTGCACTCTTGACCTGCCACTTTGCCGCAATAATAAATTGTACTTCCTAGACATAGAATCAACTTCCACATAAACAATGTGAAGCCATTGATAACAATGTGATACAAGGCATGCACCTTCTGGATTTCTTCTATTGCGCGATCATGAGTCCCCCACAATGCATTATCAAAAATGTGTCACTGAGATCCAATTTCCTTATCTACATCATAAAGCTTCTCTGCTTAGCATGGTATTCAATATCCTGAAGTCTGCCATCTCCATGCAGATCAGACATCTAACAGGGACAGCTGCTAACTATCGGAACTTTCTACTGAAACCTCTGACACTAGACATACCATGATCCATTTTTAAATGGTCAAATTGAGGATATTGCAGGAATGGGTCCTCAAATATCTTTGTCATATTGGAGTCTGAACTGAGCAACACATAGAGTTTTGTTTTATTGTCAACTTCTACAACAAAGGTAGGGGTAAGGTCTGCATACATCCTACCCTCCCCAGACCCCACTTGTGGGACTACACTAGGTATGTTGTTATTGTTGTTGTTGTCAACTTCCACAACCTTTAGCCATAAATTAAGCATATACTATTCTGTAGGAAAACTTAGTTCACCACCTGCCTTTTTCTCTTCTATTTTTTTTCCCGATTATTGAGAATGTACTGATATCTATTTAATTGTAAGTTATGTGCCTCCCTTTTCCTATACTGATATTATCACGATGCTAGGTGAAATTACATAACATTGTTGACCATGACAGGCAATGGACTTAAAAGAAGTAACATTTTACCCTGAAACTAGTATATGCAGGACAGAGAAGCTCACCTATAGACAACATCCATTTGCTCTTCTTTTGTCAAAGCATTCAAATCCTTCTGCACTTCCTCATAAGCAGTACCAGTTTCATTTTTAGCTTCTTCATCTGCAGAAACTGCTGATCCAGGTTTTCCATGGACCAAAATTTCCTGCAATGTTACCCATAAGATTCCACTTCCAACCTCAAAATATAAGAAAAAACCTTCTAATAAAGACTGTATATAAATTGAATTTCTCACCTCAAATGTGAGTTCATCATCTTCAATACCAAAATCCGCTGCAGATAAGGATTTAGCTTTTTTCTGCTGCATTCTCAATACCTCTGCCTCCTCCTCGGCGATAAGGTCCTCATCACTTGACTCTTCAACATTCTAACAAACAAAAATGTTCAAGCGAGATCAAGTATTGCATGCAAATGACGACATGATCGAAGAACTATGTTACAGCCTACAGGTACTGTTGAAACAGTAAGGACAGGATAATCCTCTGACATCACATTGTTATTTTTAAAGCCAGTAAAGTATTGGTTTCTCCAAGCGTACCGTATATAATTATGTCATAAAAGAATAAAAGTGAAGCAAATAATTAGGTGAAACTCTACCTCTTTATTTTGATAATAAATGTTCTTTCCTCTTCCCCACATTTCTTCTTTCTCCTGTTCAGCCTCATCATGCATTTCATCCTCAACCCCACCCATAGTAGCTTGTAAATATTTCTGTGTCCTTGCAACTAAAGCAAAAATAGGTACTCAAAAATTATACATTAAAAGACTGCCCCAAGCAGAAGATCCAAGGAAATATGGCAAAAAAGAGGCATATATTAAGAGATCAAGAACCAAAAGAAATGTAAAAGCCAGAATTGGAAGGAAACAAATTAGCTTATTAATTCAACAAATATACGAGTATGAAAGGGGTCTTCCTTCTGCCATCTATGTGTAGAAGCTCAATTCAGAGAAACTTAAAAACTAGGAGCCACAGTAGAAATAGTAACTTAGTGGTTAGACCTACTGAGCTTCGTGCAATATTACACAGTTCGAACACACCATTAATATTTAGTCTCCGGCCTAATTAGCCTCAATCAATAATCAAACACTAGGAATTCTTCTCACCACCACCCCACATGCATTTGCAAAATCTTAATGAGAAGTTAAAATAGTAAAAGCTGCTATATTTCTCTTCTGCTTTTTCTGCTTTTTCTTTTCCTTTTTTTGAGAGAGGAAACTCCTTAAATAAATATAAACCAATCTTATGCTCTATGTTGCCTTAAGAAGCACTAAAAGGGAATATCGGAGAAGAATTTCATAAAAACAAACAGGATAGGCAATTCAGCTAAAGTATTTCATTTCAATGACAAAAGGCAGTCACAAGTTTGAATTTAATTGCATACTTTTAGCACCAAGGCCGGTAAGTTCAGCATCATCAAAGTCATCATCTTCATCCTCCTCATCTTCATCCTCCTATACAATTGAAACAGTTCCCCAACCTTGAGTAATTAGTTGACTTGCTTTACATCAAATTAGTTCTCTAATCTCTTAATACATTTTATAAGCATTCAGTATGAAGATAAAAGTTGCAAAAGAAAAACCAATATCACCTTAAGATCATACACGGGATGCTCATTATCCTCATCCGACTCTGCAGAATCTTCATTAACATTCAGTGGAATGATATCTCTCTTTTCATGAACTACAATCAACCAAAAAGATCAGTAACAGACAAATTATTTAACATAAAGAGCATTTTTTTATAACACACCCTCGCCCCTCGCCCCTCACCGAGCTATAGCTTGCCTACGGGTTCAGCAGAACCCAATAGGTTTGGCTCAAACCGTGTAAAGCTGCATTTTTAAAAAATTTAGAATCCATAAACTCAAACTACTAGCTCAATCTTTGCTCTAATGCTCTCCCTCCATCAATGAACTCAAAAAAGTAAATTTCTCGCCAGAAAGAACCATTTTTTGCATATATCTTTGTATCTAATGCTACAACAACAACATACTAAGTATAATCCCACAAATGGGGTCTGAAATGTTTGTATCTTATGCTAACTTTGCTAAAAAGATAAGTAAATAGAGTTTATAAAAGGGAAAAACTTACAGGCATCAATAGCATCATTCATCATATCATCATCTTCATTGTAAAAATCACTTTTTGATTTCATTGAAGAGTTGTTTTCCTTCTTCTTGAACTTCCCTGATTTCTTTCCCATTCTGTATATTCGAGAAATTGAAGCAAAGGGTTTAAGCTAAAACCCCAAAAAGGTTAAATCTTTATCAAGAGAGACTGTTTTCTTGAACAAACACAGAAGAGTTTCAATGGCCTCAAGGAAAGTGAAGAGTTGCGGCGGCAACGCACTGAGAACTTTTTTTTTTTAATAAATTAAAAAATACTCTCAAACCAGAATAATAGAAGTGATGGAAAATATTTATTCACACATAGGATTAACTACTTAAAAATAATTACTGAATTGATATGTCTTTTTTATAATAATTCTCAATTTATTATGGTTAATAAATAATTAATATATTAATCCACAAAGTGCATATGGTTAGTAATTATTTTTTTGTTTCTTTTTCTTTTTTTATATTTTTGTTTTGTGGAAATGTTTTTATAGTTTTTTTTTTCTCCCTTTTTATTTTGTTTTCTTTTTTCTCCTCAAAGCTTTTCATTGCTTTGCGTTTATGACAAATAAAATATCATTTTTTTATGATTATATATAATTTAACAATATATAAAAAATACTAATTAATCATTTGTGAAAAGAAAATATGTATAGACATGTCATATTTAAGAGTGTGAATTTAGTCGATGAACACCATATATAAATAAGTAAGTCTTCCTCTCTCTATACTACTCTATCAATCTCCTTACAAAATGAATTGTGTATTAGTTGAACAGCCTAGCATAAATTAAGAGATAATGCACAAGTACCCTCTAAACTATGATCGAAATCTCAGAAACACACCTTAACTAACCTAATGTCCTATTACATCCAAACCTATCTTTTTGTAACTTTGTATACATTTTTGGCTTACGTGACATCCAAAAATCTCTCACGCGTCTCAACTACGTGAAGTCACGGATTATGGCACGTGAGCCAAAAGGTGTATAAAATTTTTTAAAAAAATGAATTCGAGGTAATAAGATTTTAGTTTAGTTAAATATGTCTTTGAGGTTTCGGTGGAAAAATGAGCTAAAAGTGCCTTATAAGTTTCAATTAAAAAAAGGGAAACTTACATAAATATACTATATTAAATTGTTTTTTTACCATTTATAGCAATAACATTTTCTTTTCACTTGATCACTTTTAATACATTTATAATACAATTTCAATACATTACAAAGGAAGAATTTATTATTCACATATAATACAAGTTTTATTGATGGATAATACATTTATCACACATTTTAATACACTTATAATACAAATTGTCAATTTCTTACCAAACAAGCATAATATATTTTTAAAAAAAACAGTTATAATACATATATATTGCATATATAATTCACTTTTAATACATAATTGCAGATTTAACATAGTATTGCTATGTATTGCTAATAAATGATAATAAATAAAAAATATCGCTAAAATCAGTAATTATTTATTAAAAGATAACCATCCAAGTAATTTTTTCGGGACAAGTGGGCCCTCTTTACTTTTTCTCTACTTTTTTATTTTTAATATTAATAAAAGGATTAAACTAATAACATCTTTCGTAGTTGTCTGGACAACTATTGAAGTTGTCGGACGACTAAAGAAGTTGTCCCCACAACTACGACAGTTGTTGGACTAAAGTGTAAAAGTTAAAAGTTTGGGATATTGAGAAAATATCTTTTAACCTAATCAATACTGTTTGTCACTTCTACCCAATTTTTAAGACTTGAAGGACTCCTACCTAATTAACTAACTAGTTTGTCCCTTTTAATAGACCTTCTCGGTTTCGGTCATAACCGAGTAGTACTTATGCCTTGTTCATAAAATAAAATTAGTTCTGACAATGCACACCCCGTCGCATCCTTGCTCACATTTTTATAGTATGACTTAGTAGCTTGATAACGAATACCGAATGAAAAATTAAAAAAAATAAAGATAAAAGTTTTTTTTTTAAATCTCCATTTTTTATTAAATATATAAATTTCTAGTGGTAAATGGACAAAAGTTCAATCGGTACAATATCTTAGAAAACTCGTGGCAACATTTCCAATTTTTTGCTTACAAAAATGTTGAAGAAGAAACAAAGCTATGCCAGCAAATTCTTCAAATCTTGCATGCACGCCATCTGTTCGACTAAAGTCCTTCTCTGTCCTCTACATAAACTCTTTCAAATCCCCTGCAATTTTCCAACACCATTTGAGAAGCAGAGAAAAAAAAAACAATTTTTTTTTTGTTAAGTGATAATCATGGAAAGTTACAGAAAGTTTCTTTTGATCTTATTGCTACTAGTAGTGGTTTCTGTTGGTACTTCTTATGAAGTGGGAGAAGAGGAAAAATGGGGAGAAGGGTTGTTTTTGTTGCATGATTCAAAGGAGATAGTGAGGACTGATGCTGGAGTAATGAGAGTTGTGAGTAAGGGTGGATTTAGTGGTGGTGAGGTTTCTATATTTCAGAGTCTAATGCATATTGGTTTTATCACCATGGAACCTAATACTCTTTTCATCCCTCAGTATCTGAATGCTCATCTTACACTCTTTGTTCGTAGAGGTAAAGTTTTCAACTTTTTCTTGGTTTTGTTCTCATGGTTCTTGTATGATAAAAAGGAGCAATCTTGTCTATTCATGAGCTGGTAAATTCATGATTTAGTGTTGGTTGTCATTTTTCTTGGGAAATTATAGGAGTCAGAGTTAGTTGGCTATCTGAATTTTCACAGGTTCGAATTCTCATGAAAACATGGAGTGAAGTTTTCAGCTTTTTCTTGGTTTTGTTCATATGGTTCGTGTATAATAAAAAAAGGAGTAATTTTTATGTACTCATTAGCTGGGAAATTTAAGATTTAGTGTTGGTTTTTCAATATTCTTGGGAAATTATATGAGTCGAGTTAGTTGCCTTTCTGATTTTTTAGAGGTTTGAATTCTTTGAAAAAATGAGGTGAAGTTTCAGCTTTTTCTTGGTTTTGTTCTTGTGGTTCTCCTATAATACAAAAAGAAGCAATTTGTGTACTCATCATGACTCATGAGCTGGCAAATTCAAGATTTAGTGTTGGTTTTCAATTTTCTTGGGACATTGTAGGAATCTAGTTAGTTGACTATCTGAATTACCCCGAGGTTCACCCCGAGCCCCTTGTGTTTCACTTCCCCATCCCTGGTGTGTAGTTATAAAAGGTTCTTGGAAAACATGAGATCAAAGTTTTGATTGAATTTTCACCAATGTTCATGATTCTCACATATATGTATGATCTAAATAAAAAATTAATGGTTTAATTGAACCTATCCCTTAAAACATATCCTTCTATGTATGAGAAGTAATAGGTTGTTTTCACTGTTTGAACTCGTGATGGGCTTGTAACATGACAATGACAACTCTTATTCTTGCTCCAAAGACCCTTCCTTAGGGGCGGAGCTACGACATATAGTTTATGAGTTCTAGATCACAATTCTGAAAGGAATATTTACACATTAAATAGAGGATTTTTCATGGTTCTTGTAAGATTATTTCTTTTTTAGTAAGAAAAATAGTTGGAGAAATGAATTAAGTGTGTTGAGACTGCAGGGGAAACAAGAATTGGGCATATCTACAAGGATGACTTTACTGAAAGGCGATTGAAGGAAGGAGATGTATACAGCATTCGTGCAGGATCTGCTTTTTATCTGGTTAATCCAGCTGAAGGGCAAAGACTTCATATCATTTGCAGCATTAGCAACTCCAACACCTTAGGATTGTATGGTTTTCAGGTACCTTTTTGCAATTTCTTGTTAAAAAAACTGGATCTTTGACTATCGAATGTTGTGAGTAACAATTAACAAATTTCCTTGCAGTCTTTCTTCATTGGTGGTGGAATCTATCCAACATCTATTCTTAGTGGATTTGACACTCTTACATTATCAACAGCATTCAATGTAAGTGATGATAACTTATAGGTAGAGTTTACTGTTAATCTGTTATCGTGTTTATCTGAACTTAGTACCAATGTTCTAGGAACATTGTAAAAATTCACTAAAAATGCAACGAATTTCTGTGACGGTTTCTCTAGGAAACAATCTCTCGTAAGAAGTCCTCGTGTTGCATCCCTCTTTTGAGTTTTTAAAAAAAGAAAAAGAGGTAAGGGTAAGGACTGTAATACAAAGAATGATAGATATGAACTCGGCAACTTTAAAATCCGGTGGGTTCAATTTTGAGAACCTTAAGTAGATGATTCAAAGTATATTTATCAAAGGGATAGAAGTAGTTAATTTCAAGATGTGTTACACATGACAGGTATCATCTGAAGAAGTGAGTGAGATCTTGACAAGACAACTTTCTGGTGCAATTGTACCTCTGAACACTACTCAGTCTCCTACACCAAGCATATGGGCCAATTTCTTGAATCTTGAGCAGCACCAGAGACATGATCACCTAAAGAGAGTAGTGCATTTGGAGGAAGAAGCCAGTTTTGAAGAAGAAGATGAGGAAAGGGAGCAACAGCCAACATGGTCTTTGAGGAAGTTTATGAATAATCTTTTTGGTCATGAAGGAAATAAAAGAAAGAAAGGCGATGAAGGACGTAGAGGCAGTGGGAAAGGTCCAGATTCCTACAACCTGTTTGATAGGAAGCCAGATTACAAGAATGATTATGGATGGAGCTTGGCCTTGGATCAATCTGAGTATTCTCCATTGAAACACTCTGACATCGGCGTCTACCTCGTCAATCTTTCAGCGGTAACTCACCTACACCATACACCATTCTTATAAAATATGATGTTCGATCCATGTTTATTGTTCTCATAGGGTTAATATTGTTGGTTCCACGTGTGATCCCTAAACTTTATCCATTATAGCGCCTGTGATTACTAAACTTTATCCACTATAGCGCCTGTGATCACTGAACTTTATCCACCACAGCGTCCGTACTAAGCATCCACCACAGTTTGTGATCACTAAACTGAACTCGATCCACTATAACCTGTGGTGGAGGCTAAGTTGCATGAAGGGAATGCAACTGAATTCTTTCCTTGCGAAAATTGTCACACCTATATGGTGCGACGGACAAACAAAAACATTTATTTTTGTATACAAGTAAACTATTTTGAATCCCCCTCAGATAAGGGAGCTTTATGTTTAGTGGGATGGTAAATGTAGTGTTAAGGGTTCAAAACTTTGTTTTAGGTCACGAGTTTGAATCGTAGATGCCACGTTGTTGAGTTTCTTCATATCCTAGGTCCAATATTTATGGATTTTGATTTTTTTGTTAGGATTCCTGAACTAAGCCATATGTCTTTACATAGTCCTACTATGTTTTTACATGTAGGGAGCTATGATGGCACCACACATTAATCCAACAGCAACAGAGTATGGGATAGTGTTGAGAGGAAGTGGCAGCATCCAAATCGTGTATCCAAACGGGACAATAGCAATGAATGCTGTAGTAAACGAAGGAGATGTATTCTGGGTGCCAAGGTACTTCCCCTTCTGTCAAATTGCATCAAGAACAGGACCGTTCGAGTTCTTTGGATTCACGACCACAGCAAGGAAGAACATGCCACAGTTCTTGGTGGGTCAGAATTCGATACTTCAGAGCATGAGAGGACCTGAATTTGCAGCTGCATTTGGTGTTAGTGAAGAGAGGTTAAGGAAGATTTTGGATGCTCAGCGTGAGGCGGTAATTTTTCCGTCGGCGTCGGTTGCTCCCTCGGAGCCTATGGATCCGAAGGGGGAGGAGGAAGAGGGAGAAAGAGGAGAGAAGGGAAAAGAGAAGAAGAAGATGAAGGATGTGATGAAGATACCAGAAGTGATTAAGAGCTTAGGCAATGACATGATGATGGGATTTGCTTAGATTTATTTTGAAGCTTTTTGTTCATTTTGTATGAGTTACTGCTTCCTTGCTGTCTTTTTGTGAATAAGAACAAATTAGTTTTTCTCCTTTTGTCTCTGTTTATTTGTCCTCTTGATAATTTCTATTTATGAATTTTGAAGTACCTAATAATTTTTATTATTATGGCTAAAGTATTTTTATTTTTTTTTAAAAAAAATAGCTTCATTCCGAAGAGCTTGCTGGGCAATGTTTTTGCCACCTAGTATAAGTGGGTCATAAATTAATTTTGTTTATAAGATGATATTAATTTGTTTATAAGATGGAAATATCACAATATTTTAAGTAGGGTTGTTTAAAATTGAATCGAGAAAATGTTATTAGGTTATCGGTAAGTTGTCAATTCATGTGTATGGTAGATTTTATTTTTCGGTTATTGATTTTCTTTTTGTGAAATCTTAATGATTAACTTGATAATTGAATCAATAATATAATTAACAATCAATAAATCAATATTTACATCAAGCATTAAAGAATTGTTGTTTTTGACTGTTGTGTTAAAGATCCAAAAACTGAAAAAACCTCCGTAATTGCTATCAAACTTGAAATCAATCAACGCTACACAACATCATACTTGCTATAGTGAATCATGAGTACCCTAGATTGCAAGAAGATGTTCTATGGAAAACATTTGTTGATTTCTGATTAAAAATCTCGAGTTCGAGCCTTGGTAAATGATTAAAGCGAGACGAATGAAGAGGGTGATGTGTACTCAAATCTTACTCCTACCTTATGACCTTACTCCTACCTTATGACCTTATGAACGTAGAGAGATTATTTTCAATGATAAAATATTGTCGTGTCAATTGAGTGACCGAAAATATCACTTGAATGTAGCGAGACATAAAAAGGTCGTTTGGTAGATAGAGTGTATTATAATTATGTGCATTGAGGCTGGTGCTTCCTCTTGATGTTGGACAGAGCCATCTGCACTTCACTAGACTGTACTTATGTATAACCAATCTTGCTCGGACTTTTCAAAAATGCCAATAGATGCACACAGAAGAACAAAAGCTACCTCATAGAGATATCATTTTTGTGAACATTCGTGTTCTTCCTAGTGATTTCACAATTGATTGAACATTTCAAGATGAATAAAGCATGTCCTTCAATAGACAGATGAAAACTCAAGACTGGGATTATGAATCAAACTTGGTCAATTCAAAGGATATCATGGGCATACCAGATGAAGTGATCATCAATCCAAAAGCTGAGGGTCTGAGTGTGGGTGAGAGATAAGCACCAAATCTGGTCAATTCACCAAGTATGCATAGACTACATCAATTACAAACAAGTATAGGTTAGTCAGGTTTTTAGTTTCAGTTTTTCGGTTTTTATACACACAACCACAAAAGCTATTGTGCTAAAGATCCAAATACTGACAGAAGTTCAGTATTTGCTATCTAATGTAGTCACATTAAACTTGAAATCAACGCGATATATATATAACATGCCTTAAATAAGTAACCATTTAAGTAATTGTGCATACCAGATTAAGTAATCATCAATCCAAAGGGTGAGGCTTAAAGCAATCCTGAGTCAGTCTCGCCTTTGCGCTACTCTCAGTTAGCAAAGTTTGTTGTCCCAAGGCAGATGATGGTACAGAGGTGGACACCACTTCACACCATTATTGGTATTCCCCATCAATATTTATGGTGGAAATATGAGCAATTTTTGGCCAGTATTCTCCTTTGTCAAATTCAAGGAGTGGTTTGAGCAATGGACAGTCGTAAATAGATAGTGTAGAGATTGAAGTGGGCATCCCTTTTACCGGAAGGTATTGGAGTTTATGGCAATTCTGGATGGTCAGCTCAGAGAGGGAGGAGGGCAGTGCTGATTCTGGAATAGATTGGAGTTGATCACATGAAGAAATGAATAGATCCCGAAGTGAAGTGAGTTGTCGTAGACCTTCAATCGGTAGGGAATGGAGCTCATGATTGCCAAATAAAGTTAGATGAGAAAGAGAGGTGGGAAGCCCTTCTTCCAGCAGTGACTGAATTTGAAGTGAGTTACCAGTAGATAAATATTCAAGGGAGGTAAGACTTTTGAAAAGTTGGCTGCTTAATGTTTTCAGATTGGATATGGTAAGCCTTCGAATAGAGCAAGGCAACTCCCAGTTTTCACCAGCAAGGTCACTGCCATCATGTAAGATGGTTAAGGTCACTGCCATCATGTAAGATGGTTAACTCTCTGAGACAGGGGAGTCTCTGTAAATGCCACTCCTTTCGCGCATTCACCAGTTTCTTACAATAGTGGATCCGAAGGACTTGTAAATTGAAGGGCAATCCTCCTTCAGGAAAGGACACTATTTCTGTACAAAACCATAGTTCTAGTTCCTTAAGAGATGGAATGAGTTCCTGCATACATTCTGGCAGCCACTTCAGCTTCTCACAGTCACGAATACTCAAATTACGCAACATCGTCTGAGTTCCAGATGCCACTGAAAGTATTTCAAGATTCTTACAATGCCAAATATAGAGTTTTTCAGTCTCAGTAGGAATCAAAAGCCTAGTAAGGTTGGGGCAACTGTTTACACTCAAATAGTGTGATCTTGGGACCAACTCTGGTGATATATCATCTATAGAATCACATCCATATATTACCAAATTCTCCAGAAACATGTTACAATCTCCTCTAGAAATCATTGACGCCTCCAATTTCAGTTTCCTGCAATGATATATCTCTATTTTCTTCAAGGTACTCGGAAGAATGCTAATCGGTAAGAAGGTAAGAGAGTGACAATCATGAATACATAATTCAACAATCTGTTTCATTCCCTGAAGTTGAGATGTAAACAGTTGAGCATCATCAAAAAGAACTCCAACTTTAGGAGAAGCAACAACTTTAAACTCTTTCAAATTTGAAAGTTGGATAGGTGTCTCCGGACTGAGTTCAGGACATTTTGAAATTCTCAATCCTCTCAGAGAGCAAAGTTTTTCAGGCAACTTCCCAATCAGCTTGGGGCAATCTTCAATTAAAAAGTTATGAAGTGCAGGGAACTCTCCCTTCCCCAGTACATGCCACTGCTTCCACTCCGGCATCTCTGCAAACTCAAGCTTCTCAAGAGAGTTAAATGGCTTTTTGGAGGACAACGTACCGTAGAACTCTTCACTCACTTCTGTTATTCGATGCATCCCTCTAACGGTAAGGAATTTCAAAGAAGGAAGTTGTCCTAGTGCTGGCAAGGAAGCACAGTTGTTGCAATTGCTAAGAGACACTCCCACCAGCTTAAGAAATGAATGATCAGCCATCCAATTCGGAAATTTTGTCCCTCTATATCCAGCGATTTCCAGTTCCTTTATGTTTGTATTTGGTTGTAGTTTATTGAGTACGTCTCCTTCAGTTTGTGAACTGTCAGCAATACTCTCACTCCACTCCAACGACAACATCTCAACATGTTCCTTTTTCATCATGTTTGCGTTCAGAGCTTCCCTTCTATCAACCACATTTTGCAACTCTAGAACTGATATAGATCCATGCAAATTGCGTAGTTCACCTAAATCTACCATTCTCAAATCATTGCAGCCACCTAGAATAAACTTAAATCCTACTAGCACATGGAGGTTTTTCAACTTGCTTGGATGTAGTGGCATCTTCAAGAGAGAAGTGCCAGTAGTGTCAAGGTGACGCAAGCTGATCAACTTTTCCATATGCGGCGGTAATTCCTCAAGATATATACAAGAAGACAAGAGAAGTATCTCCAAGTTATACAATGCACATATGGAATCTGGTAACTTTCTTATCGCCGTTTGAGAAAGGTCCAAAATTCTTAGGAGTTTTAATGTGATAAACAAGTCATTCGGCAACTCCTTAATCCGATAATGAGACAATGATAAAGCCCTTAAGGATGTTAGTCTTGGCAATATGTTATACAACACCCTCTTGCTTAAAGGAAATGAGTACCCACGCTGGATATTGATTGGAAGCAATGTCCTCAGCTGCTTTGATTTGTAGAGTGGTTTCAACTTCTCAAAGACACCATCTCCCAATGAATAGGACAGGTGTCGACATTTTTCCAACATATGAGATTCTTCGTTATCTTCCAACCTGATACAAAGTTTTGAAGATGCAACTTGGGCCAGATCATTGATAAGGTCATGCATTAAGAATTCCTCTTCATTCCTTTTAGAAGACTCCTGGACCCTTTCAAAAAGTGATCTTGATCTCAACTCGAGAAAGTATAGTTTGCCTAAGTCTTCAATTGTTTCATCTTTTTGCAACCCCTTTAATAGACCATTAGCAATCCACAGTTGAATGACTTGTTCTTTCCGAAATGGATAATCTTTGGGAAAGATTGCACAATAAGAAAAACATTGCTTTAAATGTGCGGGAAGATTATTGTAGCTCAACATCAACGCTGGTAATATGTCATTGTCTGGCAGCTCCCACATTTCACTTCTCAAAATACGTTTCCACCCTTCAACCTCTGATTTGGAGCGTAACATGCCAGCGATCGTCTTCAGAGCTAAAGGCAGTCCTTTGCACCTAGCTACAATTTGTTTTCCGACCTTTTTAAGTTCTCGTTGTTCTTCAGGATCCATGTATTCAAATGCATGTCTTTTAAATAAAGACCAAGAAACTTCACTAGACAAAATTCCCATGCTAATTTGCTCCTTACCCATCACCAAGGCAACACTTTCTTTACGTGTTGTCACAATGATCTTACTTCCTACATCTCCTTTTACAAAAAGATTTCTCAAGTCATCCCATTCATTATAGTTATCATTCCACATATCATCTAGGACAATAAGAAACCTTTTTCCCTTTAGGATTTCCTTCAATTTGACCTGTAGCTGATTAAGATTGCTTTCAGCCTTCGAGTCAAATGAGCCAATTTCTTGAAGTAATCCTTTTGTTATTCTGAGAGCGTCATATGGTTCAGATACACAAAACCAAGCTTTCAAATTAAAATGGTTTTTCACTTTCTCATCATTATAAACAGCTTTAGCAAGTGTTGTCTTGCCAACACCCCCCATTCCTACAATAGGAACTACAGTAAGATTTTTTCCATTTGCATCCTCTGACAATAAACGGTCAATCAATTCCTCTATTTCATTCTGCCTACCAAAGATATCAGATTCATCAACCACAGAAGTTGAAAATGTCCTTTTTTCTTGTTTACCTGAATCAAGATACTTTGTTAGATCAAGGAAACCAATTTGCTTTTGCAACTCCTCCAATGTTTCAATGGTGTCTTCCAACTTCTCCTTTATGCTAATTACTTGCTTGTTGATTGTTTCTGCGAGATTTTGATGCTGACCTTCCACCTTAAGTCTCAGAGCTTCATAGTTGACTTCTTCTATTATGTTTTCAGCACCATCCACAGCATCTCGAAGCTCACTAAGCCACTGACTCACATATGGATTTGATGTCTGCTTGTTCTCTGCATCACTTAGCACAGCCTGAAGAGCAAGCAAAGTCATCCTCAGCTTCTTTAAAAGCCGAACATCATGCTTGTCCCTCTGAAACATCTTCATCAGCTCACCGTTAGGAGCAAGCCTATCAAAGAGAACATTCAAAGCTGAAGAGAGAAATGCACCACCAACAGCTAAGCCAATATCCATTTCTGAAACCTGCAAAACAAAGAATCACAAAATGATTATGAATTTGGTGATGATTAATGTTTCTATGTTAAGATTTTCTCGACTTAGAGTTTTCTCTTACCTAGAGCAATATGCAGACAAGTAAGTTTTGTTGACTGCCTGTTTTGCAACTGAGACTTCCAATTTGGCACTAAAATTTCACAAATATCTCGCTCTCTTCAAGGAGATTCAAGTTTACTGTGGCATAATCTATACATCAATCAAACAATATAACTCTTGACTTGTCCCCTCCAGCATACAATAACCCAACAATATCGTACAACTAAACTCTCTCTGTCACTCCTCATTTTTAAAGTAATATTAAAATGCTTAAAATCCAACACTCAACACCAATGCTGGTAATATGACAGAGACATTCCAACAAACTGTTTAAACTATTTTCTTGCAATATATGGTATCTGAGATACCATATCTCTTTCATACAAAACTTTAATACAGTAACATAAATGTCAACATCTACAAAACCTAAAAATTGTTGAAAATATATACCAAGATCATAAAATTATATGAAGAATGAAGATATTATAATATGAATAACGAACACAGAATTGAACGCTTGAAACACACGCAAAATGTTTTCCTAAAAATGATATTTGTTCCCTTTCCTTTGGGAGATCGTTATGGGATTGTACACAAATAGTTTTGATGGATATGATAAATCAGTGAATATCTGCACTAAAGGTAACCAAAGAATGAAAGAAACACTTATATAGGGTAGCATATCACACTTATCTATTTGTAATTAAAATAGTAAAGTTAAATTATTTAATCTGTTGTTTATTGTGTTTCAATTATTACACTATTTTTTTTAAAATTTTTTTAGACTTTACATGAATTTTGACCGTTCAGAAGTATTACGGAGGGGAAAGTTAATTAGATCCTGATTCTTTGACCTTCATACGTACTAATTGCTTTTTTGGTCTCCACAATTTGCTAAGATTATAATATTAAAATGACATTTACATAAACATGTCATTTAATTTGGTTTCAGCTGATAGTTATTTTCTCCAACATTAGATGTGCACAAGAATACACTTAAACTTGTATATAGTTAAAGTAGACACGCCTGTCATAGTAAACATGCATTTTTTAACTACATATATCATAACATATTTGATTGATGATGAATGAGACGGAAAATTATAATAGATATATATATATATATATATAAACACTACTAGGGATTGACTATGATAAGCATTATATTACAAGGAAGCATGGCTTGGATTAGAAAAAATGACAAGTTTTCAATTACAATGTTTTCTACCATTATCTTCTTCATTTAAAAAAAAAAAAATTATTTATAGAAATTTGAACTCCAGGACAAGAACATAGTTATAACAAATTGTTTTTAAAATAATTTTTCATAGAAGGTGCCTCTTTGAAGTTGAAATTTAACCACTACAATTGTCTTGTTTTCAACATTTTAATTTATTTTTTAAAAATGTCATTTGATTTCCTACTAATTGGTCTCTACAATCAAGTAGCATTAGCTTTATAAAATTACCAGAAACTCCCTACTAATTGTTTTCTTTGCGTAGGTTGTTTTTTTTTCTTCTTGAAATTAATGATTTAAAAAAAGTATTCTTTTTATACTTTTCTCTTTATTTGACAAAATCAAATACTATGAAAAGATATCCCAAGCAGAAAGGCACCCAATAGTTTGAGCCCTTTTAAGCATTTTGTTTTCTTCTATAACATAAAAAGTTGGAGGAAAACTACTTCTTGCATATTTCTTTTTTCAATAATCGTTAATTAAGATCTAAATGTTATTATGGTGCGTAACAATAACAATCATTTCATTATAGCAGCCAAAAAATGCCCATCATTATAAAGAGGTCCAACTTTGTCTTTCGTAATTACACTAAACTAATTTTTAAGGACAACATATATAGCAATATTTGCTGCTTCACCTTATCTAAGATCACAGGCATAACTTGAAATAATATCACTTTTTATATATGTATACAAAATAAACTTCCATCTGGTGCTTCAAACTCGCGCACAACAGAGCAATATAGAGGATGGGAGTATTACCAAACTCGTGGTCGATACCATCTGGACATACCAACTTGACCTTGTAACACTGCTGGTCTAAATGCAGGTTCAGCATTTCAAGCCAAACGTTTTAAGCAGTTTTCCTTTGAGCCAGAGGAGCACATTTTAAACATACAGCTGGAAGGAAATCTCGCGGTTGACATGTTTACACAATTTTGAAGTGCAGCTGGAGCAGTGAACAACAACCATCAGAGTATTATACACAAAAAATATCCCCTTTTCTGAGAATGAAATGCCTACCATTCTTTCGAGAGATGGAAGGAACTCTACCACTGGTTCTGGTGGCAAACTTCAGCTATTACTGAAAGAATCTCGATGAGGAAATGACATCATATCTTGCCAAATCATCTCAAAATGGAGCAGAGAAACTGATCAATCGAACCTTGTACTTTGTTGAAATGCTGACAGAACAGAAATAATTAGAAACGATCTTAACGAGCTATAGGAGAAACTCCTTGTACAAAAGTTTGCTCAATATTTCCTTCTCAGTTTGATAAAAGAAAAGTACTAGTGTCAAATTCCAGTGAAAAGAGAAAGTATCTTTCACAACTCACTCGAAAAAAGGAAATAGCATTTTTAAGCAATACCCCTCTCATATGTTGGAAGAAAACCTGGAAGTAGTCCAATCAAATGAAAATTATTAAGCTGACGAATTTGGTAGAACAATTGAATGTTAATACAGCCAAGCATTAAACTAGTAGCATCAAATCTACAGGCTGGCTAATCCTTCTACTGCAAGCAATTACGTGAGCAAATCAAGGTTGAACTGTACAATTTACAGAGCTTGGGAACATGAAATTGCTACTAAGATAGAAGTTCAAGCAATAAATGAAGTAAAATCTTCAAGTAAGAATAAAGAGTGAGATATGAAACAAGAATACATGAATTACTATTGAGATAAATTTCCTAAAGACGAAATAGCTTCCAGATAACATATATGTGCATGGTAAAAGATCACAAGCTGATTATTATTACATTAAGCTATCAACTTCATGGAGCAAGTTATTTCGATTGCTACCTATACCAGACTTCATTTATAGTGTTCCCACCCGAATAGAAATATTCTTTCACCTTCTTTTTTGCATCGAACATCAAAATCATCCTGATCTGAAGATGATTCCTCGGCATCACAGTGCAATAGACGCTACACACTGCACACAACAATTTAATAAAGGAAAATACTCAACAAACAAGCAAAGAGAAGTAACGAAAAATAAAAAGCTACTGAGATAAAAAGAGTTCTTACATCAGTCAGAGCGTCATTCGTTATATGTTAGATCTACAACAATATTTCACTATAACAGTAAAAAAAAATCTTCACAAATAACGTTATTATAGAGAGATTTGATTGTATTGGTTCATCATGTGATTTATTGTTTCCTTTTCCATTAAGTTATCTTTCTATCATATATTTTTTTTTATTGATGACAGGCATATGGAAAATAATATTGAAATCTGATATAAAATCCTAACTTGTATTGTGTACATGATCTTGTGACATCATCATACACAGATATGTTAATAGATCCCTTCACATGAATAAGAAGTCATTCCTCATTTTTGTTTCACCTTTTGGGTTAAAACTATAGAAGGCTTAGAAAACAGCCTTAGGTTCAGACTTGGGTTCTCTAGCTTCTATTCTCAGGGTATGTAGATCCACCAGACAAAAGGCTTGAAAGGAAGAGCACTCCTACTTACTTTTGGGAGAAATCCTAGACATTGGATCCTCGGTAGGACTTGATATGTTTAAGGGAGTCCAGTACCTGAATGAAATTAAGGATTCTGTCGTTGCTGGTTTCCAGTAGGCTATTTATGCTTCTCAACTCACTGCCAAGCCTCATTTGTTAGAGCCTGTTCACCTCTTCGAGAATTACTTGGTGGCATCTACAGTGTTCTGAACGAGAAACATGGACACATGTTTGAGGAGTTGTAGAGGCTTGGAACCCCTATTTAGGACATCAAGGCATACCTTCCTTTTATCGAGTCATTCGGTTTCTTGTATAGTTTGACAGCTGCTACTTCAGGGAAAGCCTTCCCACAATGTGTTTTCAATCACTGGGATATGATGCCATCCGATCCATTGGAAACTCTCGAGAACTCATTTTCTAGTCATTGATATCTGCAGGAGGAAAGGTTTGAAGGAGCAGATTACACCTCTTTCCGAGTAAGAGGACAAGCTGTAAGTCTGTGACCCAAGTTCCGTTGCCTATGAACATGCTTAATCAGAACTGCACAAGTCTTGTCACACTAGTATATATTCGGTTATTAATTATATAAAGTTGGATATTAGATTGGGAGAGAGTTGAAGGAAATAGTAGGAGTATCTGTGAGGAAAGTGTTGCTGTAGTGTTACATCGAGAAAAGTGGCCACGTGTTTGAGGAGTTGCAGAGGCCCGGAATCTCTCTATAAGATTACTTGTATTAAGAAACATTAATATGAAACAGAAAAAAATGAAAGAAAGAAGTTTTTAGGATATCAGATGTAGTGACCATTAATCTATAGATGCATGACAGATGATGGACACTGCTTTACATTGATCTGGGTACTGTGGGTGAGGGATAAGCACCAAATTTGGTCAATTCACCAAGTATGCATACACTACATCAATTTTTCAAACAAGTAAAGGTTAGTCAGGCTTTCAGTTTCAGTTTTTTCGGTTTATATACACACAAACACAAAAGCAATTGTGCTAAAGATCCAAATACTTACAAAAGCTCAGTGTATACTATCAAATGCAGTAGCATCAAACTTGAAATCAATGCGATATTACACGCCTTAAATGATAGAAGCAAGATTGAATTAACAAGAAAGCAAAGGGAAGTAAACAAAAATTCAAAAAAAGAAGAAGAAAGAATTAACTTACATTTATCTAGAGTACCATTACTGGAATTCTCCATCAATATTTATGGTGGAAATATGAGCAATTTTTTGCCAGTATTCTCCCTTGTCAAATTCTAGGAGAGGTTTGAGCAATGGGAATTTGTAAATAGTTAGTGTAGAGATGGAAGAGGGCATCCCATTTACTGGAAGAGATCGGAGGCTAGGGCAATCAATAATGACCAGCTCAGAGAGTGAGGAGGGCATCCCCAATCTGGCAAGAGATTGGAGATTAGGACAGCGAAAAATTGCTAAACTTTGAAGCCACTTGAGGCGCCGAAGACCTTCGGTCGGTAGCGAATGGAGATCATGATGGAAATATAATTCAAGCTCAGAAAGAGACAAGGGAAGCCCTTCTTCCAGCAGTGACTGCATTTGAGGTAAATTATTAACACATAGAGATTCAAGAGAGGTGAGACTTTTGAGAAGTTGGCTGCTTAATGTTTTCAGATTGGATATGTAAAGACATCGAATAGAACAAGGCAACTCAAAGTTTTCCCCTGTAAGAACCTCTTCGTCACTGCCATCATGGCTGATCCCTAACCGTCTGAGAGAGGGGAGTCTCTGTAAACGCCACTCATTGCGTCGATTCACCAGTTTCTTGCAATTATTGATCCAAAGGACTTGTAAATTGAAGGGCAATCCTCCTTCTGGAAAGGACACTATTTCTGGACATTTATCCAGCGTCAGTTCCTTAAGAAATGGAAGGAGTTCCTGCATATGCTCAGGCAGCGACTTCAGCTTCTTGCAGTTGTAAATATCCAATGATGTCATCTGAGTCCCACATGCCACTATAAGTATTTCAAGATTTTCACATAAAGAAATACAAAGTTCTTCCGTCCCAGGAGGAATCAAAAGCCTTGGGTTGCAGTATTGCTCTACCCTCAAAGAACGTGCTCTTGGGACCAGCTCAGGTGATATATCATCTATAGAATCACATTCATGCAGTTGCAAATTCTCCAGAAACATGTTACAACATCCGCTAACTGGCATCTCCAATTTCAATTTCCTGCAACGATGTTGTCAATTTTCAGCTGAATCCTCTCAAAGTGAGAGAGTCTTTCCATTATATAGAGAAAATAAAGATTACACATCCCTAAAGATCCGCCATTCCTATCCCTAAAGATCAACTATTCTATCTATACAAATCTGCCATTGAATCCCTCTAAATCTGCCTTGCTATCCCTCCAAATCAGCTATTCTATCACAATATTTATTCATATGATTCTACAACAAATGTATATGATCATGCTAATTTATATCACTTTATAATTACATTAATATATACAATCATTTAGTTATCTATCATGCTAACAGATGTATCTCTATTTTTTTCAAAGTAATTGGCAGAATGCTAATAGGTAAGGAGGTAAGAGAGTGACAATCAGTAATAGATAATTCAACAATCTGCTTCATTCCCTCAAGTTGAGATGTAAACAGTTGAGCATCATCAAAAAGAACTCCAACCTTAGGACAACCAACAACTTTAAACTCTTTTAAATTTGAAAGTTGGATAGGTGTCTCCAAACTGAGTTCAGGGCATTTTGAAATTCTCAATCGTGTCAGAGAAGGAAGATTTTCAGGCAACTTCCCAATCAACTTTGGGCAACCATTAATCCAAAGTTCTTCAAGTATAGGAAATTCTCCATTACCCAGTACATGCCACTGCTTCCACTCCGGCATCTCTGCAAAGCCAAGCTTCTCAAGGGAGTTAAATGGCTTTTTGGAGGACAAACTACCATAGAACTCTTCACTCACCTCTGTTATTTGATGCATCCCTCTAATGGTGAGGAATTTCAAAGAAGGAAGCTGTCCTAGCGCTGGCAAGGAATCACAGTCCTTGCAGTAGCTAAGAGACAATTCCATTAGCTTATGAAATGAATGATCAGCTAGCCAATTTGGAAATTTTGTCCCTCTATATCCGGCGATTTGGAGTTCTTTTATGTTTGTATTTGGTTGTAGGTCATCAAGTATGGCTCTTTCATTTTGTGAATTGTTGGCAATACTTACACTCCACTCCAATGATAACTTTTCAACATCTTCCTTTTCCCTCATGTATGCTTCATGAGCTTCCCTTCTATCAATCACATTTTGCAACTCTATAATTGATAGAGATCCATATAAGTTATGTAGTTCACCCAAATCTTCAATTCTCAAACCACTGGAACCAGTAAGAAAAAAATTAGCTCCCACTAGCACATGGAGATTTTTCAACTTGCTCAGATGTAGAGGTGTCTTCAATTGAGCTTTGCTAATGTCAAGGTGACACAAGTTGATCAATTTTTCCATCTGCAGAGGTAGCTCCTTGAGATAACTACAATGTGACAAGAGAAGTGTCTCTAAGTTGTACAGTACACAAATTGAATCTGGCAACTTTTTTATCTTTGTCCAAGAAAGGTCCAAAAATCTTAGGTGCTTAAATTTGATAAACAAGTCATTCGGCAACTCCTCAATCTTATAATGAGATAGTGATAGTGCCCTTAGGGATGTTAGTCTTGGCAATATGTCATGCAGCCCCCTTTTGCTTAGACGGCATAAACACCGCTGGATATTGATGGGAAGCAATGTTCTCAATTGCTCCAATTTGTTGAGGGTTTTCAGTTTACCAAAATCACCATCACCCATTGAATATGACAAGTGTCGAGTTCGTTCCAACATATGAGATGCTTTGATGTCTTCCAACCTGATACACAGATTTGAAGACGCAATTTGGGCCAAATCATTGACAAGGTCATGCATTAAGAATTCCCCCGGATTCCATTCAGAAGACCCTCGGACCCTTTCAAACAATGTTCTTGATCTCAACTCGACAAAGAATTGGTTACCTGAATCCAACTGCTGTACAATACCATTAGCAATCCACAGGTGAATAACTTGTTCTTTGCAAAATAGATAATCTTTCGGATATATTGCACAAAAAGCAAAACACCGCTTCAAATGTGCGGGAAGATCATTGTAGCTCAACATCAATGCTGGTAAGATTCCATTCGAACGACTTGGCAGCTCCCATATTTCACTTCTTAAAATGTCTTTCCACTCATCCACCTCGGATTTGGAGCGTAAAATACCAGCAATTGCCTTTAGAGCTAAAGGCAATCCTTTGCACTTGTGTGCAATTTGTTTTCCGATCTCTTCAAGTTTTGTATGTTCCTCAGGTTCCCTGTTTTCTAATGAATGTCGTTTGAATAGAGCCCAAGAAACTTCACTAGAGAGAGTGCCCACATTCATTTCCCCACAACCCATCATCAAGGCAACACTCTCCTTACGTGTCGTCACAATGATCTTGCTTCCTATATCTCCTTGTACAAATGTATTTCTCAAGCCATCCCACTCATCAAAGTTATCATTCCAGACATCATCTAAAACAATAAGAAACTTTTTGCCTTTCAAGCTTTCCTTCAATTCGATCTGAAGTTGATTAAGGGTGTTATTAATCATACAGTCAAATGATCCAATTTCTTGAAGTAGCTCATTTGTTATTCTGACAGCATCATATGGTTCAGACACACAGATCCAAGCTTTCAAATCAAAATGGTCTTTTACCTTCTCATCATTGTAAACTAAGTGATGCTTGCTTATTCTCTGCATCACTTAGTACAGCCTGAAGACTGAGCAAAATCATCTTCAGCTTCTTTAAAATCCGAAGATCATGCTTGTCCCTTCGAAACATCTTCAGCAGCTCGCCCTGAGGAGCAAGCCTATCGAATAGGACTTGCAGGACTGAAGAGAGAAATGCACCACCAACTGCTAAGCCAATATCCATTTCTGAAATCTGCAAAACAAAACAAAGAATCAAAGAATGGCAAAAATTAAAGATGGCTGTCTATTTTTGCTAGGAATTAAGAGATAAAATTTACCTGTTGAATACTAGAGCAATATGCAAACAATATGGGAGGAGTATACTGACTGTGTTCTTAATTTGCAATAGCTATCTCTTTGGTCAAAGAAAGAAAAGAGAAACAATGTTTGTGCTCTTTTCAAAAAGATTGCAATTTCCACAGCTTAGCTGTCTCCTTCTTGACTTGGTTATAGTTTACTCATTTTTTGTTGACTTTGACAATCAAATTTAGGGGCGGAGCTACACTATGTTGAGGGAATAGTCCTATACGTAAAATGCTATTTAAAATGGTTAAATTTAATACTTTGGACCTCTTTGACACAATAAGTTAGACTGGCTCACTGGCCAGAGGCTCCCTGGTGCGCAGGTTCGAATCCCTGCAGCTACTAATCCTTTATAATAATTTTTTAAAGAACTCATATTTAATTATTTCTTAAATAATACTCCTTTTGTCCCTAATTACTTGTCCACTTTTGAATTGACACACCTATTAAGAAATCAATTAATGACATAGTGAGTTTACCATTTTATCCCTATTAATTATGAATTGGATGAAAAGTCCATTTTTCAAAGTAATTAGTCATTTAATTGAGGATATAATAGATAAAAAAAATTGTCATTTCTTGATTTGTCAAAATGGATAAGTAATTAGGGACAACTATAATAGAAAAAGTGGACAAGTAATTAGGGACAGAGGGAGTAGTTAGTAAATTTCTTAAAAATCTATAAATTAATAATAGTTAGTAAATTTCTTAGAAATCTATAAATTAAAAATCTAATAAAGCTAATTGAATTTTCAATGAATTTGATTTTTTATTTCTTTCATTATAAGTTGAACCCTCCCCCCCCCCCCCTTCTATTTTTTTTACAGTGTTCATTTACTTCATATTTAAATTAAAAACAAATATTAAAGATACATATACGATTTGATTTTTGAATTTTCCAGTGCATCCATTCATCAACTTTTTTTTTTGCTTATATAATTCTTGGACATCCTTCATGAAATTTCTAGCTCCGCGAATGCATACAATAATAATTTATTATTATTGGACACCACCATTATATAAAGGAAATCATATATCATATATATTTATATAAAAGACAACCCTATGCCCACCTACGTGGCGCCACCACAAGCTAAAATTTCCTTTTAAATTTACTTATTTCCAAAAATAGTCTTCCCCTTTCATGAAAATATGTGACTTTTATGAAGAGTTGCAACTTTTATAAATAGTTGTCACTTTTATGAAAAATTATGACTTTTATGAAAGGTTGTAACTTTTTCGAAAGAGTTGTGAAATTTCTGATAAGGCACAATAAGCATTTATTCACACTACCCTTTGTTGTCTATATATAAATAGAGGGATTTCCTCTCATTTTAAAACAACGAAAATTCTAAATGTCTTCTTCTTCTGCACAATTAAATATTCATGTACTTTGCTCTTGTTGAGTGGCTCACTGATACCATTATTTTCGTATCAATATACTTGTGAATGGAATCGTTTCATCCTGAGAGGATCTATTCTTTTAAACCCCGGGTACTAGATGAGAATAATTTCCTTAAGGGGACAATGTGCATCCAGCGGGCTCAATTTTTTCCTTTCTGTTTCATTCTATTATTATAGATCCTGGTATATTTTTTTACAGTCATTAATTTATGCTTATGATATCAATTGTGATTTTTTAGTACATGTTTTAAACTTTATTGTTTATGTTTATGTAAAGTTATTGTATATAAGTATTTGTTAGTACAGATAAAGATTATTTATTAGAAAATTTAATATCTCATGTTGATGTTCATCTAATTTTCCAAAAATACCAAATAGTAACACTTCCTAGAGGCAAAAGGATAAAGTATAAAATCAAATTAAAGATGATTGATTGAAGGATAAATGATAAGATGTTATAATTATCATTTCCTTTTACGTTATTAATGTACCTTACTACGTAATCTTGTACGTAAGACAATATAGTGTTTTAGTTTTAATGAGTGATAGATTTTAAGTATTATTTTATAAATTTTGTGATATCAAAATCCCACTCGAAGCGTGGGTAATTTTATACTGATAACTAAAGCAAATATAAGGTTTTTAATATGTTCAACTTTTTTGCAGTATTTATAGTATATTATATATGCACATCAGCACATGTACGTTATTAATAGTAATTATCATTTTCCTTTACGTTATTAATGTACCTTACTACGTAATCTTGTATGTAAGACAATATAGTGTTTTAGTTTTAATGAGTGATAGATTTTAAGTATTATTTTATAAATTTTGTGATATCAAATTCCCACGCGAAGCATGGGTAATTTTACACTGATAACTAAAGCAAATATAAGGTTTTTAATATGTTCAACTTTTTTGCAGTATTTATAGTATATTACCTTGTATTGTATCATATCACGTTGAAAATACGCAAAAAGAAACAATAAAAAAGTAGAAAAAGTTAAGTTTACACATTATTTAAAGGATGGTTGAATTTATAAATTTGAAATTGAATTAAGAAATCAAATTTGCGGCAATGTTTTATACTCTCTCTCCGTCCACTTTTTAAGTGTTAACTATACTAAAAATAAATATCTAAGTTTAAAAATCAAAGACAATTTATTATTTTATATATATTTATCTTATAATTATTAAATAATTTTTTTCAATTTATCTCTCAATGAGTGAGATGGCTAAAAATAATAGGATATATAGTATTTTATAAAATAAAAAAACTAATTGAATTATATAATAAAATTATTATATATAAATATATTAAGTCAAATGCGAACAAATAAAAATAAACAGAAGGAATATAGGTTTTTCATCCACCTCACCTTGAAATAAGAAATGGTACACCTGCATGTGATGACTTAAAAAAAAAGAAGATATAGTATGGTAAGTCCAAATTTGACCATTAATTTCACATAGACTTTTGACTCTTTTTTGTTAAAAAAAAAAAAAGGAGAAAGATATAAGTTTTGTCTAAAGTTTTTTGCTAGTATTAAAGGTTGGTGTTAATGCGAACAAATAAGAATAAACAGAGAGAATATAGGTTTTTCATCCACCTCACCTTGAAATAAGAAATGGTACACCTGCATGTGATGACTTAAAAAAAAAAAAGATATAGTATGGTAGTCCAAATTTGACTATTAATTTCACATAGAACTCACTTTTCTTTAATATTAAAATAAAAAAGGAGAAAGATATAAGTTTTGTTTAAAGTTTTTTGCTAGTATTAAAGGTTGGTGTTCTATGTCTATATATACATATATTAAATTTAAAGGTTGGTGTATTGGGTGTCTATATATATATAGTAACAAAAAACTAAGACAACAAGTGCATAAGTGAGAGATTTTAAATTTTGCATGCAAAATTAAATATGGCTAATTTTTCAAGATTGATATCAACAATCTCCAAGAAAATTGTGAAACCATTTTTTCCCACCCCATCAACTCAAAGAATACACAAACTTTCCCTTCTTGATCAATGTATGGGTAATTTTTATATGCCTATTGTCTTATTTTACCCAAAACACCAACTACAACAAGGACCTAAACACCTCTCTAAATTTCTTGAGAACTCATTTTCAAAAGCAATATCATATCATCAACCATGGGTTGGAAGTTTACGTGACAATGCCACCATCCATTGTGATGACACTGGGGCTGAGTTCTTTGAAGTTGAAGTTAATTGTCCTATGGATCAAGTCGTTCATCACCCAGACTTAGCATTTCCTCCAGGGCTACCCTGGAGGAATGTTCCTCCAGCACATGATGGTGGTTGTTTGAGCGTAGCTCAACTTAGCCACTTTGAGTGTGGAGGAATAGCAGTCAGTGTTTGCATGTCACATAAGGTGGGTGATGCACGTAGTGCATTCTTCTTTCTAAAGGATTGGGCTACGTTAACTCGAGAATATCCAAATGGAGAATTAGCATGTGCTCCTTGTTACGTCAAGATTCATTAATCCCATCACGACTTGATGGTCCTCTAGATTTTCCGGTTATGGTTGAGCCAAATACACAAGATAGTATCGACTTTGAAAAAAGGTTTTTCTTATCTGAATCCAAGATAAGAAATCTCAAAGCTTTCATCTCTTCTGATAAATCATCAACCGTTCAAAATCCAACAACAACTGAGGTTGTAAGTGCACTTTTTTACAAATGTGCAGCAACTGCAGGTGCAAACTTATCAAATACTGGTAATAGTAGTAATGATTCTTCGTCTCAATTGGTCTTGGTATCAGATTTACGAAAAATAATTCCACTTTCAATACAATCCACCACCACAATAGGAAATATTCTCACTGCGTTCTCCACACCAACATATAACCTAGAAGACCTTAGGTTACCAAAGTTAGTATCTGATATAAGAAAGTCCAAACTCGAGCTTTCTAACAAAGATAATTTCAAAAACAACACATGAATATAAAAAATGTTGGAATACACAAATAAAGTTAATACAGGAATAGAGGATGCTCAATTGTATCTTCAGAAGAGTTCATGTCACGATGTGTATCGTTGTAGTAGCATATGTAACATGCCATATCAAGATTTGGATTTTGGATGGGGGAGGCCAAGTAGAGCAAGCATGGCAAGTGCTCCAATTAACAATGTGTTATACTTGATGAATACACATGATCAAAGTAAAGGAATTGAAGTGTTTATCAACTTGAATGAACAACAAATGTCCATTTTTGAACAAGACAAGGACTTTCTCCAATTTGCTACTCCTCTTGATGATAATGATCATGTTCATGATGATGAAGAGAAATATTGCATTGGAGCTTACTAAACATGTGCATTCATGTCACAAGTGGCTTGTAATTCAATAAGAGAATAAACTTGTATTTGCTATGTTACTAAATTATGTTGTTTATTTCTTGTGTAACCCTTTTTGAATTTCTCAACTATAATATATATGAATCCACTTCGTTGAAAAATAACACTGTATATATATGTATATTTAATCAGTTTTTAAAATTTTATATGTATATATTAAATTTTGAACCCACTAACACAAGTCTGAAGCTTAGCCGAGTGGTTGAGGGGGTTCAATTTTCCCAGCCAACCCGGGATCAAATCCCCATTGCCACATTTTAGTTTTCATTCATTTTTTTGATATATAAAACGTTCACACACAGTTTTGTCCTCTATGTAGGTGTAACTTTTGTCCTTTTAGTTGCTTATAAACTATAAAAAGTAGAACAACTTTTTACTTTTACAATTAAAAGTCCAATAGTCAACAACTTTTGTCCTTTGTTTTTTTTTTTTTTTAAAAAAAAAAAAACTCAACCAAAAAGGCACTAATCCCTATTATTCTCAATTCTAAAAACCCTTGTCTTCTTCTTTGTTGAATGTTTTTTGCTCTTGATTCTAGTCTTTATATATACATATATGATTATTGTGGTTATTTTTTATTTCTTCAACTAAAAAATCCCTTATCATTCTAAAATCAACAAAAAATTACAAATAATATTAGGTATATTTCTATGTATTCGATTATGAAATTAAGGTTATAATTATTTTGTTTAATATTTTGTTTTATTTGTTAAATGTTGAATGAAGAGAAATCATTCATAATATTCTTTTATTTTTTAGTTTATATTGTAAGCCTAGTTTTTCGTCCATCTTGTTATTTACCGTCTCATTCATAAGTCAATGTAAAAAAAAATTACAAATGTATTAACATTGTTTAGTATAGTCAGATATGTATGTTGTTAGCCTCATAAAAATAACAAATAATACTAGGTATATTTTATATCTTGAACCCACTTCGTGAAAATCCTGGGTCTGCCACTGACTGTTTCTTTACTAAAAGCTTTATTTTACCTGTTGAATGATAAGAGTAATTTGCAAATAAGAATGATCACTGATCTCCCCCTCTCTCTCTCTCTCTCTCTTTTGCTAGTGGTTTACTTGTAATTGGTACTATTAACTACAATCCACAGCTGACAGTCATTAGATAAGAAAAAATAAAAAACTGTCCTTTTTTTTCTCTTTTCCAAAAGTTTGACTTTTCACCCAACAAGAAGACGGAGACTTGATATTGGAGTCTGGTATCTTGGCTATTCATTACTTTCTCAATTGAATAATTGAAGCAAGAGAGGAAGGGAACTTAGGGATGTAGAAGTTGACCAAGACAGCACAAGTTGTACCAAAACTAATTGGGGGAAGATCATGTATGTTATAGCTTAATGTTTAGTGACAGAGTTAGCACATTAGCATTTCTAGTATGTATGTGTTTTTGTATTCTATCCATAATTAAGCTTTATTTTACCAATTAATTGCTACACTAATAACCACAAGTATGATCTATGAAAGGTGTTTTAGCAGAAACTACCAATGCCTACTTATATTTTAACTCAGTAGGATTATTAAGTAAAGATTCAATAACATAAATCTGTTAGAACTTATATACATCAGTTCTCTCCAACCTTGTGCTCTATTGTGTCATTGAAAGGGAATGGACTACAACATGGGGCCACATAAGACAGCACAAGTTGTGCCAAAAGTAAATGATACTATTCAATTCTCACCAATCAATCAACCAACCCATCCTAACTAAACACCCAAACCTTGTCTGCGCAACTGTGGATCATTCATTACAACGTTTGTCTTGTTTTTGTATAGTTCCCAGTCATACAAAAGAAAAGGCCTACATCATTTTCAAGCTTCTTTTCTCTTGTCATAAAATGAAATTAATAGTCCTAAGGATAGGGTAAGTCGCTGAGTGTCGGTTACAACCTATGATATTTGGATCATGACACTGATTAGTACTATCGAATTTTGCCTGATGACATCCAAATCTTGAATTTCCTTAAATATTACAGAGTTTGAGAATAGAAAGACCAAACATTAGCAGTTCTAGTACAATATGTGTTTTGGAGATAGTAATAGGTATTTAAAATAACAACCTAGGTGTGTTAAGATATCGCTCTACCTTGAAACAGTCTCTACATAACACTTTATTTTATGTATTAATCGCTAAATAATATTAAGAAGTTGTGTGCTTTAGCAGAAATTACCAGCATCTTATAGTTTTGAATATAACTTTTTTTTTCTCTCACATTCTTGCCAGAGATAAGGATAAGCTGAGGTAGCTAGTGGTAGAGATGTTTTCTGCAACTATAGACTATGTTTGATCATTCATTACTACGTTTGTATAGTTGACAATTATAGAAAGAATAATTATGTTTTATTTTTTCTCTATTCATATTATTTTTTACAATAAATGAAAGACATTAATGTTATTTGCAAAGTCAAGACAACTCCAGCAATCTTCTCCAGAACATTATCATCACAGTCTCTATTTGGGTCCATGTACAACACTATCCCAAAAAATTGGACCGCCACTAGTGGAGGCTATTATTGTTCTGGAGATTCTCATATCTTCACTTAAAATGACAAAGCAAAAAATTACGAAAAGCAAGAAACATGCACAACTCCAACCTGGTAGTATCAACCCCAAAAAGGTACAATACACTGTTGTTTTATCGACAATGGTTAGCAATGTGCAATTTTGCTAAAACTACAAACCATAGACTAAGAAATAGCTTTTTTCCCCTTATACTGAAGCAAAAACTGATGAAGGGAGTACCAACTACAACAACATACCAAGTGTAATCTCACAAGTGAGGAGGGTAGAGTATACACAGACTTTACCCCTACCTCTTATAGATAGAGAGGTTGTTTCCGATTAGTTTAATATAGCAATAGTGCCATATTTAGTTGGGGAAAAACTTGTCTCCACCCAATATGGGTAGTTATTAGTTATAAGAACAACTGAATATCACCTTGATGTAGACGCTTTCAGCTGCTCTGTACTCCTAGATTAGAACCATGCCTTGTTGGAGAGCCTACGAGAAACATACATGGAAGCGATTCCAAACTTCCATCTCAGTTTATCTCCAAAGCCTTCCTGAAGCTGAAACACTCATACATTGATGTTCATAGATGTCCAGAGCAATTGTACAAAGATTTTTATTTATTTTTTTGGGAGAAAGAAGAGTTCAAAAAATTGAGTAAAGGTATCTTTTTTTCCTTTTTCTTGTTTAGGTTCATTCCATCATCATATCTGCCTCCATACTCAACAATTTCTGTAATTGCTAATTGATAACTTGCAACAGACATGCGTATATCAGATTTCACTGGATAGTGGAGCAAGAGAGTAAAAATGCTTCCATAATGACGTACGGTTTTACTCCCATAAAATGATCATATAGGTTTATTACAGATCAGCTAGGAGAGGAATCACAGAGCTAGAAGAGAGCAAGTATCAGCGCAAATTGAAGTGCACGTTTCATTGAAGAAAGACACAATTGAAGAAACATAAAAATAACACACACAAAAAAAAAACTACATGGACAATGAAATTAAAATAACTGTAGGCTTTGTTCTAGTTTAATTTCCTTTGTCAATCTATAGAAGATTCATGAATATTTTCATTTTTGCTCCTCCATGAGTCATAACTCAACTACCACCCAACATCTACGAAGACAGTATTACAGATTTCAGTGTTGATGAGGAACATAAAATGGAAATAGACCAACTTCCTAATCCTTTTAGTCTGTGCAAAAATATCCTTAATCATTAACACTATCCTCCCCTTGATAGTTTTCTCTAGCTTGTACATCTTCGTTCCATTTTCTATCAGTTGGTCTTTCCCATTTTCAGCAGGTTGATCTTTCAGCTTAGCCTTTTTTCTAGATTCTTGAGCGTTCATAATCCTGACTTCCTTTTAGATTTGCTTTCTCTCAACTCTGTGAATGGGAACAGAGAAAAGAAAAGAGCAAGGAAAATATAGCAATGAGTTCACCAACACTGAAATATCCTTGGAGAAGGATTATGTAAGGGTATCATAGTGCCTCAATTTGGGCTAGATAACTCAAACAACATAGTGGACACTGAAAAAGTTTGGATTACTTCAAAGCAAACAGAATGTTATCATTTAGATATTCATTATCAAAAATACCACATGTATACACATTAGACATCATATTGGCCTTGGATTTTGACTGTACATCAGAGATATAAATACATATGATGAGCTAATAACATTTATCTAACGAGTGTGAAACATATCAGAGGAGGTAACTAAATTCACTCATATGTGGCCTATTGGTCAATGAAGTGCATTGAAGTAACTCTTTTCAATGTCTTGGCTACCTGATTGAGAAAGTGAGGTGACATTTTTTGGACCCTTTATCTCTGTAGAAGAGATGAAAAATGTGGAACAACTTTCATGATGGCGAATAATATTCCAGTCTACAAGACTTGAGGGAGAACATAAGCTTATAGAAAAGAAAAGAGAATATAATAGTCAAGTATGATGAAGAGTGAGAGATAAATAACAAGAATGTATAAATTGTATTAACGATTAGCTTAGATATTTTATCTACACATGCTGAACAGTAGTTAGTTGTTAATAAGTGTTAGGATTAGGAATGGCCTTTGTTGGTTAGAAGTTTATTAGGAAGGTAATAATAGAATAGATTAGCTGTTTCCAGCTGGCACTCCTTTCACTTGTACATATATATCACACATCAGAAATGAAATGAAGTAATGAGTTCATTTCCGAGATTGATTCTCCAAATAATGGAGTTGGTTACTCCTTCTCATGTTTTCTCAGGAACGCACCAAATCCACCATTGAAGTTCAATATTGAGCTTGATCAAAGTTTGATAATTGCGCTTGAGATGAATCTCCAAAGGCAATAAACATCTTGCTGACATATATTAATATCAACTTTCTGGAGCAAATTATCTCAATTCCTACCTATACTAGATTTATTTTCCAATGTTTCAGTGCAAATATAAAGATTTCATCCTGAACTTTAGATGCTTCCTCAACTTCACAGAGGCAATAGATGCTACTCATGCTACACACTGATCAAAAAGATTTAATAACAAACAAGCAAAGAGAAGTTACCAAAAATCTGAAGATACTAAAAAAATAGAATAACTTACATATATTGGAGCACCACTCGTTTTAATCATTACAGGTACTCCCAATAAATATTACGGTGGAAATATGAGCAATTTTTAGCCAGAAAGCCCTCTTATCAAACTAGACGTGGTTAAAGCAATAGAGGATCCATACTGCTCCACAAGATTTAAGAAAGGAAAAGAATTTAAAAAAAAACAAAGGGAAGTAAACAAAAATAAAAAGCTTCTGAGAGAAAAGAAAAACTTACATTTGTGAGAGCGCCATTCCTTTTAATCATTACAAGTATTTCCAATCGATCTCTATGGTGGAGATATGAGCAATTTTTTGCCAGTACTCCCCCTTGTCACATTCTAGTAGTGGTTTGAGCAACGGGCAGTTGTAAATATGTAGTTTAGAGAGGGAAGAGGGCATCCCTTTTACTGGAAGGGACTGGAGATTAGGGCAATACCCGATGGTCAGCTCAGAGAGGGAGGAGGGCAGAGTTGATTCTGAAAGAGATTGGAGTTGATTGCAGTGCCTGATCTCTAGACGTCGAAGCGAAGTGAGGTGTCGAAAACCTTCGGTCGGTAGTGAATGAAGCTCATGATGGTCATCTAAACGTAGCTCATAAAGAGATGAGGGAAGCCCTTCTTCCAGCAGTGACTGAATTTGAGGTAAATAATAAGTATCTAGATATGCAAGAGAGGTGAGGCTTTTGAGAACTTGGCTGCTTAAAGTTTTCAGATTAGATATGTAAAGACGTTGAATAGAGCAAGGCAACTCCCAATTCTCACCAGAAAGAATCTCATCATCACTGCCATCGTGTTCGATCCTTAACTCTCTAAGACAGGGGAGCCTCTGTAAACGCCAATTCTTTCGGCCATTCACCAGTTTCTTGCAATTCCAGATTAAAAGGACTTGTAAATTGAAGGGCAATCCTCCTTCAGGAAAGG